ATTATGAGTGAGCTGAAGGGGAGATGCCAGCTGAAGGAATAAAGGCGACAGGATGAAGCCACTGCTTGCTGCTGCTGCTGCTTTGCCCTTGCGATGGCTGGGGTCGCCAAAGCAAGTGTCCCTTTGCCCAGATGAGTTGTGTGATATATGACACAAAGTAAAACATGTAAGACCATCCTGTCCACCTTGTGACACCCAGGACAGAGGCCGCATCTGCCAGACTTTCCTCACTCACTGCCTTTGAACTGTACTGACAGGTAGAAAGCCCATGGCTACACATGTGCCATAAACCCAAGATTCTTTTTCTTTTTTGCACTCATTGATTGCCCAGATGTGATTGACAAAAAGATTGTATATGCACAATACAACAGCTGTGTCAAAAAATAACCTTTAAACCTCCAGAACACAGTTACAGCTGCTCTAGACTTCTCATATCCTTTTGCAGTGTCCACTAACATGCTGCTGGAATCTTGTATTTCTTGATAATCTCCAAGTAAGTGCCCTTAGAGTCAGGGGTTATTTATAATGCAGCTTACAACTTCAACTTATCTTGGTACTCGGTACTGAAATATTTTGGTAAGGAGCAAGGTTAAATGAAATCCCATAACATCATTTCATTTTCTATTAGGATGAGAAGACCTTTGCTTATTACAATTGAGGTGCTTTATGTTTTGTTTGGTTTTCAGGCTCCCACTGAAATGCAGCACTAACTTTTAAAACTTGAAAAACATTGTGACTAATTTTGGTCTTGTGAATTCTGTGATTTTAAAAGAGATACAAAATATCCAAAGTATTAATTTCTTTAAAAAGTGCTTCTTTGGATTGTCACTTTTCTTTGACATATCTGTATCAAAATATCACTCATCCTTGCATAAGCTTTTTTTTTTAATTGTCATAGATAATGAGAGAACCTTGGTGAAAAGATGGAAAAATTGAATGTAATATGCCTGCTTATAAATATCTATATTTGGATATTGGTTTCCTTTTCCTCTGTCTCATTTTCAGACTGTTTTCCCCAATTTGAACTGAAGTGCAGGAGCTCAAATGAAGAATTTGGCCTGATTCTCATCTCAGGCTATTTTTACAGGGTTGTTTCCAGTGAAGTGGCTCTTCCCAAAAAGAAAGGGAAGAACCAAGCCTTTGGCTAATAATTGCAACATGGAGATGGCACATGGGCACTGCGCCACTCTTCCAGTTTTAATATTTATAACTGAGGTTTTTTTCAGGAGGTTCTTAATTTCCCAGGACTATGGCTGCTTTCAGACCAACTCTTGGTGGTTTGGCTCCTTCCCTGATGTGAACTCAGCTCCCAGCCTTCCTCCATCCCTGACAAGAGCCCTGTGCTCAGAACCTCTGCTGATCCCATCCCACCTTTCATTTTGTCGGAGCTAATTGCTAAAATATTTCTTTTAGAGGGGCTAGATCAACGCCAAGTGCATCTCTTGATTGATTTCGGGGGGTTTTGGATTTGGCCCTTGATGATTTTCTAAGGTTAGTTTCACTTGTTACACGGAGTTGTGTCAGATTTGCCCCTCTGTGATTTGGCAGAGGTGTGGGGTGGAAATGGAGAAGCTTCTGCTGGTTTGGGTTGGGTTCTG